CACATTGGTCTGCCTGCTAACCCTGATTCATATGCTCCTAGGTGACTCCACAGCAAAGCTCCATGCATTCTCACTGCTCTCCCACATAAAGGACAACTTCCCCCTGTGCTGTCCAGCTGGTTCTTCCTGAAGAGCCTGTACTCATGCACCACAGCACTGCAGCCCTATGAGCTGTCCTATCACTTATGCATGATCCCAACAAGATCCTAGCCCTGAAACTGAGTGCAGACCTCAAATTCCTCCCATTTGTTCCCATACTATGAGTGTTAATGTATGGGCATTCTAGAGTGGCACTCAGTCATGACAATGATTTAGAAAAAATCTGTGAGATCTTCCCCCATAATGCACATGGAAAAAATCCAAAGGCATGTAAGCAGCACTGTTTGATCAATTTGAATTCCAGATACATCATCTGGTCTTCTATTAACAAGCTCAAGATCAACTAGAGGCAGTCGAAAGCATGTGACCTGCTCCAGTCGAGTGCTTTGTATATTCCTGGAACCAGGTTTCACCCAAATGCAGCAACTGCTTTTGAAGATAACCACATCACTTCTGTGTGCAGGTAAAACATATTTATCTTTCCACTATATTCACCCAATTGAATTCAATTAATAGGTCACTCTGGTTTCTGCAATTTAAGTTAAAACTGCAAGAATTCTAAAAAACTACAGAAAAGGGCATAAAACCTCTTAGTTCTAAGATGCTGAAGAAACCAATCTGAAATACTCAAATTCCTGTCTACACATATTACTTCCTCTTCTTTAAAGGTGAAACATATTCTGGTAGTGCTCTTCCCCTACTGTATCAGCCTACACTCAGCTTTCAGAATTGTTCCTTAGGTAATATTTAATTTCAGTTTTTCCCCAAGATGTAAACGTTAATCACAAAATAGAAACGTAATTGCTTTTAAAAAAGTAAACACATTGACCACAGTTATACCGTGTTAAATGTGAAAATCAGATCACTTAACAGAGCTGCAAGTATGCTTAGTGAAACACAGCTGTTCAATGCAAAGTCACATTTATCACTTTGTTTTAATGGCTACCAGAGACAAACAACTTCTTAAAAAAAAATATACATTAATATTAGTTTTTCATTTCAATCCTTAATAGTCTCCTTCTTGCTGATTTAAGAATAGTGTACAATAAAATTAATTCTTTCTTCTGTTGAACAGATTGAAAAAAAAAAAAGCTGAAGTTTGAAATCAATGGAGCTAAAGAAAATGGCTGCCAAAGTAAGAAAACTGCTACAGGCATCCAGTGAGGCAAGACAAGGATGAACTCTAAAGGGAAAAAGAAGACTCAAATTAATATTATTTTGTGTTTTAAACCCCAATAATTTTGGAAAAAAAATAAGACTGGGCAATAGCTTGTTCAGAAATTCTGACAAAGCAAGCATAAGCACTTGCTCTCAAGAGTCACATTACTAATGTAAAAGCCCAAAGGGGAATGCTTGCGCTGCTCAGACATTATCCGTGCCAGGAAGGGTCCAGGGACAATTCCAGCGCAGACCTCAGCTCCCAGCAGGAGATGCCATACAGAGAGTCTTGAGCCTTATTCCTACCAGACCTCGGGGACACACCCCGACTGCTCAGAGTCTACATGCTTAATCACAGGAGTCCCTGCTCAGCATCTGCAAGGGAACGCATTTGAGAGTGCAGGCTATTTCCTGAGCAAGCAGCCACCCATCCCCTTCCAACCACAACCAGCCTTCCCCGGCTGCCAGAGCACAGGCTGAAGGAGAACACTGGGGGTGGGTAAGCGCTGCCATTACCCACCACAGAGCTGGACTTTTGCCCTCCGACACAGCTGCCCCTCTGCCCCTTACTCCTTAGGCTGGGATGGGCTGTGAACAAGTGTGGGAAGCGGCATTCAGTTGGCTCAAGCAGCTGTTGTCGGCATCCTCCCAGAAAAAACAACGGACTGGAGAGAAGCCGATCAAACACCACCGTCGGTCTGCTCCGGCTTAAATGAAGTCAGGAATTCAGTGCTTGGATCCCCTCCTCCATCTCCCTCAAGCGAAACAGAGCAATAAACATGCCAATGTGACAGCTTTTTTTCTTGCCATCCAACACTGAAAGCAACAAGAACATTTTAATCCATCAAAAATGGCCCTGAGATTCAGCACGTGGTGAACTACTCACAAACAGATTTTTAAGCTCACCTTAGAGATCACTACATTTTCAGACAGACACAGTCTATTGCTCTAAGTATTTTCACCAGTAAATTAAATGGAAAATTGAAAAACAGCCAAACAGCACACAGGCTGCAAAGTAGCAAATGCTGAGCTAGTAACTTCAGACTTAACATCAGATTTGTCACCCATAATGACAAGCATGTACTGATTCCTTTTACAAAACTTTGATACTGAAAGTCAAATCTGTAGCTTTAAATTTGTAATATAACAATACTGATAAAAATAACATAATAGAGGAACTGCCTTAAAGAAGCAACAAAAGTAAATTTTAGAAGAAACTTTTATGTTACACAGAAACTTATTTTGCCATTTCACCGAACATTTAAACTTGAACATAGTGAAAATATGCAACTGTAACCTCGGAAATATTATTTACCTTTTTAAATGTCACTAACGCAGCTCCACATGCCAGCTACTACACATCAACTCTCCACCTTTTGGAAAGAATCATTATAAACTGGGTAGAGTCCTTTCTTATTAACAGCATGCTTATATAAACCAAAATAAAGCAGATCTTGCATCTGTAATGCTGAACTTCAGCAAAGCATCAACTTCTGAAGATGGAAAGTCCAGGACAAGCATCCTGAGCCTGAGGGGGTCTTCCACAGTCATAAAAGACACATCAGGAGAGTGCTGCCGACAGACGAAGTCCTGTCCTTCGCCATAACCACATTCCTCCTACACACAACTGGGAAGGACCTCCTGCACCAGTCAGTTCTGGGAATCGATTTTCCTAAGCACTAATATATTGATGCAGCAGGCTGAGCCAGATTTCAGAAGCTGCCCATACTTCTTTGTCAGATGGGTATGACTGAGCAACCACACATCCAAACACAAATTTAATCTAAAATGGCAACCAGTAATGTTCTTCTGAGTTGCCAGTGGAGCAATGACTGGACAAAAGCATAACATCCAATGAAATAATTTATTGTTATTGGTTTTGCCTACATTTTCCCTTCTTAGGGCGACCTTTCTACAAAAACTTAATCTGAGCCTAAGGTAATATGCATCAAGAGAGACAGTCCAAACTGTCTGTAAGTTGAAAAGCTGTAAAAAAATAGCAAACCCACTTGCTTCAAATATTTTGAAACAGGAAAGGGAGTATTTTATTTCATTGAAAAAAAATTTGTTAAAAAAACCAAAAACAGGGCACAAAAATGCAGAAAACTGTTCTTCAGTCTCAAGAACTTTTGCATTCAAGGACGCTGGATAGCAGTGGGAGATATGAGTGCTCACGAGGCAAGGACAACTAAAGTTTTAGAAATTACTTATTTCCTCTGCTATTCTCAAATTAATCTTGAGTGTTCAAAAGGATCATTTCACATGGAAAAAATGCTTTGACAAGCTCTTGCTTTTGAAAGTACTTTCACAAAAAGGTTCAGTATAAACGTGAGATTTCACCTATGATTTAGCAGTTCTTCCTCCCACCGCTCACAGTGCCTTCTGATATACAAACAAGATGCAAACCATTTCCAGCAAAGTCAGAAACTGGATAAATCCTATTAAAAAAAAAATCACAAGTTTTTTTCAGGCTTCTGTTGCTATCTGTAGATCTACTGTCCTTCTACCATGTGCTAGAGCTTATACAACATAGATAGCACAGCTGGCCTTGGTAAATTAGCTCAAAGCTATATCAATTGATAGATGGGCTGCACATGATGTACAGTCTCAAATGCAGTCAAACACACAGCTTACTCAAAATTAAAGCAAGTTTTCCCCTTTTGTACAGATAACATACGATTGTCATAAGAGTTGGAGTGCCTGATAAGGCATTATTTATGAACGCTGGACACCACCCTTCAGATTTCAAAAGCATTAGCAAAGAATGTTGAGTAAATCAAATAAAAATCTTGGGATTTTAATGCCAAATTTTGTCCATATTTATAATCTTGATGAAATCACTAAGCACAAGAAAAGAGTCTGACTACTGTAAAATCTACTAAAGACACAGATCTACTAAGATCACAAGTATTCTGTGAAAATTAGTTCAGTTCTCCAACCGTGCTAGAGGGGATAAAGAACAAAGGCTAGTTTGTGCTTACACCTATTTAAGCACTCAGTTACCTCTAGAGAAGTAGAGCATGGAAGACTTAATGACTGTTTTGTGACAGTTTCTCAGAGCAGGTCTCTCTTTTTTCTTAAGTAGTATGGTAAAAGCTGCTTGCAAAACACAGTAATGACAGGCCTACTAAAATGCTCAGATTGCAAGTTGTAACTTCATGAATTCCAAGCTGATATCTATGGACAGATATTCCAGAAAGCAAGGATATTTCCAATAATTCAAGCAGCACAGGACAAGGTTACAAACACCCTGTCAGCAAAGATATAGCTAGTTTTCTTCACCGCACTCAACACTCGCCTAGCATGATAAGCGGATCCCAACACCCACCTTAGCCATCTGTTCGCAAAAAGAAGGGCTGCTGGCGAAGATGCTCGCAGGATGTACCGTACCCCGCCTAAGGGGCACCCGCCGAGCGGCTCCGAGCGCGGCCGCCGCAGGGAGGGGCCGGCGGGGCTCGGTGCGGAGCCGAGACAAAGCGGGGAGCCCGGTCCTGCCGCCGTCCCCGCCCCGCGGGCTCCGCGCCGGGACCGAGCCCCTCGCCTTTGTCCGCCGCCCCCTCCCGCGGCACTGCCCCGCCTCAGCCCCGCCGCCCCAGCATTGCCGGCCGGGGGGCTCCGCGAACGGGGAAGGCGGTGCCCGGGCCCGGCTCCCGCCGTCGCCACCACCACCCGATAACGCCCCGCCACAGCACAGGGGCGCGGCCCAGCCCGCCTCGCCCCGGGCGCCCGCCGCTGCCCCTCACCTTCCAGCCCCTCCATGGCGCGCCCCGACCGCCGGCTCGGAATCGGGCTCCGGCTCCGCTCCGACCGCCGCTGCTGTGGCAACGCCGCCTCCCGGCCCTGCAACAACCGCCGCTCTCATTGGCCGCGCGGCCCCGCACAGCCACAGCCCCGGGGCGGCCTCTCCCCGCCCCGACCTCCAGCTCTGCTCTGCTCCCCACCCCACCCCACCCGCGCGGGAACCCGCCGCCCTTTCGCAGCCGCCCGGCGAAGGGAATCCCACGCCCCGCTGCGCCCTGCCGGGCCCAGGTGGTGTCACCCGCCCTCAGGCTGCGCCCTGGTCGGGTGTTCCCAAGGGAGCAGGGCACCGGATCTGGGCATCTCCCTGTAAAACACAGGCTTATCCTGGCTCTGGTGCGATCTGACGTGTCCTGTAGCCCATATGTCGAGGTTATGCTGTGATCGGGATCTTCTTCCAAGAGCAGCGCTTGTACATGAATCACAGAATGGTTCGGGTGGAAGGGACCGGTGGAGATCATCCAGTCCAATCTCCCAGCAAGGCAGGGTCACCTAGAGCAGGTTACACAGAGAGGTATCCGAGTGGGTTTTGAATGTCTCCACAGAGGGAGGCTCCACGACGTCCCCGGACACTAAATTGAAGCATACAAAGAGCAATGACCGTGCGGTCGACAAAGCATCTGAGCTTTCTCTGTGTGGACACCGGCGGCAGCTGGGATGGTTCCAGGGACTCTGCACCCTCTGCACCCGAACAGACGGGTGCTGAGGTGTGGCCGTAATGGGTGTCCCCTTGCTTGTGAGAAAACCAGAACAATCACGGGAAAAAATACACAAAAAAGTGGTTTTCAGGTTCACATCCTGAAAATAGCTGCAGACAGTGGATTCCTTCACCCTTTCTTCTTCCTCTTATTTTCTTAACTGAAAGAGATGCTAATATAAAATTAGTGTCTTGAGGGGGAATCTCCTGCTACAGGATAACATTTGAGTAATAGACGTTTTTGGAAGATAGTGCTACTAAATTGCTGTTAGCTAAAGAATATGAATAATGCTTGATACATATTGAAATTCTTTTGTTCGTTTTACAAAACTTCTCCATATTTTTAGCAACAAAAGCATTTGAAGATTTTTTTCTTCAAGACATTATTTTATAACTAATTTTTAAGATCTTTCATTTGTCTTTCCTGTGGCAATATTCCATGAGCAAATCATAAAGTTTTTCTATAAAAAGTATAATAAATCTCATAGAAATTATTACTGTCTTGACAGGCACATGCAAATAATTTCTCTTCTTATGCTAGACAAGTTGGTTGATACAGATTTACTTGTCCATAGAGTCACAGTTACTGTCTGCAAATGCAACTCAAGGATAGCAAACCATATCCATAAAAACTACATTAAATTGGAGATTTTGAACATGTTGTCTTCCCTGCATTCCCTTGGCATGGAACAAATAGATCCAGATGTTGCATGCCAAACAGCCAGCGTGTAAATCATGATTAATATATGATTAAACCATCATTTGAGATCAAAAGCTGAATATATATGGTAATTCTAGCTGCAATTTTTCTAGTTAGTTTAGAACCATAGAAAAATACATTTCAGAGTTGCTTTTGATTTATAAAGTTTATGCTTATAAAATTACAGGCCAGGGCAGAAGCAACGAGTTTGCTACCAAGTTGCAGAGTTCTAAACTTTGCAAATGACCCATTAAATCTTTGACATAGAACTTGTATAAGCCCATAGCTAGCAAGCATTTGCTGTTTAACTAACCATTACAATAGTGTATCAGAAGTGCACTTCCTTTCATGGTATTTCCATATGTGGATTACAAATTCAAAACTAGAGGTGTAGGTGTTCTCAGTTTAGTGAAAGGTTTCATATTAGAGGTGCATTTAGTTTGGTTTGGTTTGTTGTTTCTCTTTGAAACTGGAGGTTACTTTTGTTAAAATCTGAGGCACGTGGTAACTTCAGCTCACCCACCTTTAAGTGTCTACAGTGAGGTGTTCACCTCTGACCTATCTGTCAGGTTTCCTAGTAGAGTCTATAGAGATTTGTCTCTGTAGTTGATTTAGGCTATGGGATTAAGGGTGCAATATGTCTGGCCAAATGTAACATCTGTTTCAGGATGAGAGATGAGTAAATAGTCAACACCTGCATCAGAGTAGGAGTCTACTGCAAAGATAAAAGGTTCTTCTGGCTCTTGTGGATGGTGTCTGAACATTTGTTGTGCAATTATGACTATGGACAGCATATCTTAAGGACTCTTGATGCTGAAAAGTTGCTGTCTTTTAATTGCAGTGTCCATATGGGGAACAAGGGACTCATCCTTCATGGTCATAGCCACTGTGCTACATGAATGCCTTCATAAATTTACCTTCATACTGAAAAAAACCCAAGCCTGTGTTTTTCTTCTGTAGACCTACTATGCCAAAGGCAAGTATGTTCTGCCATGACATTCCTATAACATTTAGGATTTTTTTTTCCAAACCATATGCTAAATTTATTAATTGCTAGTTTACACTGTGTATGCTTGTGCCAACATTTATTTCTGGCTTAAAATTTTTATTGTTTACCTCTTTGATCCATTTATATGGAATTAGCATGTATTCTGTTTTTAGTATTCTGCTTATGTTTGCCTAAACAAAGTAGAGCTCTTTTGAACTGTCCTCAAAAACTATGCTTTCTATTTCCATAGTCATCATGGTACCTCTTATTGTACCTTTTCCATGTTAGTTCATATTGCATATGTGATCACAACCTTAAACTGTCTCTGAGAGGGGATCTTACTGCATCACTTAGAGTTCTTTGCCTCTGCTGGGAATATTTCTATTAATACATCTTAGGTTACATTTGCTATGCTATGGTAAGCTTATAGGCACCCTTATATTTTTAGCTCCTATCCTTTATCACTTGTTTTGCAGAGGCAGCAGTGATGACAGAAATTTTAGCCTCTGAAAAGTAATGCAGTCCAAACTGCTTCTGTTTGGAGTCTTCAGTGTCTCTGAGGAGCAGCAAGAAAATGCGTCCCTAGATGCAGAAATCTTCCTCATCTCACACTTGTTTTAAACAATTGAAATACAAAAACTGGCATAGACATGACTATCCATGACCAAACCCCAGAAGGAACTCCAAAGAAAAGAGGTAAAAGCTAATCTGTGGTATGCTCAAACATTAAGCAGCGGTATAGATAATACTATAGAGATATACTATAATAATGCCTAATATTGACAGTTTCCAAAAAGACTCAGGTCTTTTTCTGCTGGCCAGTAAAAATACAGTTTTTCAGTTCTTGTTGGTTAAAAAGAGGAGTTTGCCCACAGAGTTAAGTTGGGAGTGATAAATTAGGAAAACCTATTTTCCTGTGGTTTGTGAGCATAGATAAAAGTTACAGATTAGTCTGGATCTTTGGCTGCATAAGTTAGCATTTTCAAAAGGGCCTAGAAACGTGGAACTGTGGTCTAAGATTTGCAAGGATCCTTCATTTGGGGCAGAAGTGTCATAAAAGGACTAAGTCCTGTGAAATTATCAGAATTTCATTAACATTTCAAATGCTCTCTTTCACTCTCTGAATCCCTGTCACGATGACTAAAATCTTTATAAAAATCAAAACCTTTCCACTATCTTTCATTTTAATAATGAACACTGGATAAAGAAGGATTTCCCAAAGCGGTATTTTAATTAATACATTTTGCACTATAACTAACTTCTGGGAATTCAGATACGCTTGCACAGGGGGACTTTAAAATTTAAATATTCCTAATAAGCTTTTTCTTACAGTTAATGCTAATTGAGGACTACAGACAAGAATGATTACTCTCCTACTATAATAATTCCTCAATTAAATTACTACAAGAATGCCTTTTGTTCTTTTGTGGGTTATAGTCACAATTTATATTCAGGATTGGAGTATTGTGATTTTGCTATCAATCTTTTTACCAAGTCCTTTTTTTCAGAACAGTTTTATAGTTTTGTTTGCTGTGGTACTCCTAAATTAGACAGAACAAGACCAGAAAGCACAATAAAAATTGGTAAGCAGTGCTGGAGTGAACAGTTTTTGGTCTCTCCAAACATAAATTGCTCAACTGATAAAGCTGAGTCTAAACTGGAAGTATGGGAGCAAATGAGTTACAATAATACACAAAAGACAAAGAAAACAATAGTTTAAATTCTAGGATGCTGTGCTGTTAGGTATAATTTCTCAATTCAAGAAGCCAGTAACAGAAGGAGGCCAGGGATTGTGACTTTGTCACTGGATGTAGCACCCCTGCTGTTCTCTTATTTCTGTATATTGGCTTTTGCAACCTGTATAACAGTCTCCATATGTTGGGATGCTAGTTTTTTACAGTTCTATTAGCAGGTTAGTTCTTAAAAAATGAGTGGGAAATTCAGAGTACAGAATATGTAAACCAAACAAGTTGACTTCTAGTAAATCCCCTGCACTGTTTGTGTTTAATTTCCAACATGCTTCCACTCTTCAGCTTGTTGGTTTAGGACACAACCTAATACATGGCACAAGCCAAAAGTGAGAGATTACTGCAGAACAAAGCAACGCTGAAAAGCTGATTTTGCAAAGCCATTTTATATGAGAGAGTTGCTCAAAGCACTTTATGTGTTTCTCTTCCCTAAATGCTCACTTAGAAGATGGACTTTGCTGGATAGGCTTGTAAGAACTGGGTGCATCTCTGTATGGTACAAACAAGTTGACCGCCCAGCTGGTGAAGTATTCTACTCTTCTGGAACTCTCTAAATGCCTTGCAGGGCAAATAAAATTAAAATTTTACATATGTACCATGATCTTGTCAATGGGACGAGGTTGTTTCACACTTTTAGGAATTTTTTTTAAATTAGGGAAATTAAAATGACGCTATAAATTAATCTATGTTTATATTGTAATTTGATAGTGTATTTCTCCACTATTCAGAGGAAAAGATCACAGTAAATCATAATAAGACTCGAATTTCTGTCTGAACTCAGATTTTGTTTCAGAATCAAATATTCTCAAGGAATAGAAAGAAAAGTTTCCTTCTTTATTTACCACCTAACATACTCAGCTTCCTGCCATTTTCTTTCTCAGAATGTGATCTTGTGATCCTTCTGTTCTTTGACAAAAATCTGGACAGATTATGCCGTGCATATCATCCCTTATTGTGTTGTGAGATATG